GGGGTGATAGAGGATTGCTTGGGCATTTTCCCCTAGACCGCATCCGATTGAGAAGAGGAGAGGAATAAGCAAGTAGAAAGATGGAGGAGAGAGGGAGGAAAGGAGGAAAGTGAGGAAGAAGAAGGAAGGGGGAAGTGAAAAGATGAGAGGGGGATGCGGTTTGGGGGGAAATGGGTGAGCAATGCCGGAATTTGTGTGTTGTATTTTAACTTGTTATGTATCTGAATTTTTTTTCTTATGATTGTAATGAAAATAAAATAAAATTTAAAAAAAAAATCCCTCGCAGCAAAACTTACAGCTAACAATAGGAGAGCAATAAAAGACATCAGCCATCCGCCAAATAGAACTTGCCAAACAATCCTTAAGAACACAAAGCCCACAATACACAAATCCCAGAACTTCAAAGTCACAAAAGCACATAAGACTCCTTCCACTCTCCATCTCCCTCTCTCCCTCTGTGCCTCATCTCCAGCCGATGCTGCCTTTCTTCATTGCTGTTTCTTCATTCCTCCTGGAAGACGACCCCTCCTCTGCTGCGTTTCTTGCCTCTTTGTTGCTGCCACAGGTTGCTGCCACAGTTGTAGATTGGCTCATGGCCAGCCTGCTTGATCTCCTCTTCTCTTCCCCTACCCTCCTCCTCCTCCTTTCCCTTCAGTGCAGCTAGAGCTGATTCCGCCTCCTCCCAAGGCTTTTTTTCCTTCTCCCCCCCAAACTGCCTCCTTTTATAGCCTTTTCTGTCTTCACCCCCTCCTCCTTTCTTTTCCGGGTGAGTCAGAAATGAGCCTGGGGCCTTTGCCTCGCCCCAACCACTCTGCAGCTCTGGAGGACTCTCTCACAGTAAGTCCTGTGCTGCGCTGGCTCATTCCCTCCCCCACTACACTTGGCTAGGCAGAGCCACATACCACCTGCCACGTGCTAATGTATCACAGGTGTTACGCATACCACCGATTGAAAAGCCCTGCCCTAAACTCCGCTGAAGATGTTACCTAGCCTGGTAACAAAACATTCAGAAACCAACCCACAAGCTCAGAGAACGAATCTTCACACTCAGAATCTTCTTACATTTGGCTTTTATCTTTTCTCTCTCCTTTTGAAAAGCTGCCATTGTTAATTGTGGCACTGATTAAATACCTTTGTTATTTTTAATACTCTAAATATTGTTGGTTGTTAGCCATACAATAAAGGAAAAAATGGGAAGAGAAAAAATGATTTATTAATTTAACACGAGATAATGTTCTATGCCATCTAATTAAATAGTGAACTCTTTTTCCTTTCTTCACCTGCCTTGTTATCTGATTGGGTATATAAACATGACAAATACCTTTTTAACAAGAAGCAGGCAAATGTGCTGAATGATATATATTAATTCATTCTTCAGACAAATGTTCCTAAATGTACAAATAATAGTGCATCTCCTGTATTGGAAATAGGATTAGGTATTTATTGCTGTATCAGTTAAATTATAATATTATTCTGAGTAACAAAAAAACAGATTTCAAAATAATTTCATTATTCATTTGAAAGCATAATTGTGCATGAAACATGAAAACATGAAAAAGATTTCTGGCCACTAGCAGGGTTCCAAAGAAGAGCATTTTCTGTCATGGCTCCCTCCCTTTCGAATATCAGACCTTTCCAGGTGACATCTGATCCCACTTTTCTGGCCTTTCCTGAAAACCTGGCTTTGACAAATGGCCTAGAGCCCCAATGTGGGAAACCCATTTTCGAGATGACTAGTAGGTTAATAGAAGATAACATTTCTACCCCATCTATGCACTGGGGTTTTTTTGGTCCATTTTAGTATTAATATTTTAAATCTTAATATCTGACATTTTAATATTTAATACTGTGGTTGTCTTACTCTGTTATTTATGATATTGTAAACTGTCTAGAATTACGTGGTAGAGATGGTAAATAAATACAGATTTTTTTTAATCTCATTTCCTGACTCCCATCATAAAAGATAATTGAATCGGTTTAAACTTTAAAAACAGATTTACTGCCTGAATTTTAACACTTGGATTTCAGATATAAAATGTATATTCAACTAAAGCATGACAGAAGTCTACAGAATTATACTGATAGATCAATTTAGCATCTATTAAGTCCAATATCATGCCCTAATTATTATGCATTCAAATTATGCAATGCACTCTACATGGGGCTGCCTTGAAGAAGATTGGAAGCTACAACTGACAGCATGGATGAAGCAGACTTCCTCAGGGAAACCTAACATTGCAGAGTAGTTGGGTTCTGCAGCTGTTGTACTCATTACTAGTAGATCTAAATTACACTGAGTGGAGGCATAAAGTATTTCTTTTGTGTGCGGAATTGAGGACCTTGACATCTCTTTTACATTTTTTTTAAATCTTGTACACTGCCTAGAGTTCTAGGTTCAAGCCATTAATATTTTTTATGAATTAATGAACATTTTAGGTTTTCCAAGAGAATGATCTCTGATTTTTCCACTGATTTTTATCAAATCATTCATATGTTTTTTCAATATATAAGTACATTTTGTGTTGAGACAACAAAAATCTAACTATAAGCAAGCTTTTGCTCTTCTACAGTAAATTCTTCATTTTTAAGTTTGTATTTTCTTGAATGATAGTGCTTCCTATATTGTATTAACTCATTCCAAGTTTGTATACTTCTGTTGTCTGATGGGAAAATAAGTGTAGATGAATAAGATGCTGCTTCCAGAATATCATTCAATCTAATCTTCAAAAGCTACTTTATAAGTGTTTGCAAAGAAAATAAGAATTAATTATATAATCCAATTTTCCTCTGAGGCAGCTCAAAAACCATTCAAGAAAAATGCGAATATTTTTACCATTTGTGTGTTTTGTACAAGTCAAATGGATTCAGGATGTTCTGAATACAACATTTTAAATTTTAACTATGTTCACAATTCTACAAAACCAGATAGAATTTTTTTTGAAATGTTATTATTGCATATTAATATACATATGCTATTATTATATATTAATATATAATGATGTCATTGAAAGAACATTGTTCTGTCTATCCTGTTATTTTTTTCTTCTGACTTCCAAGATTCTGTATGGTCCTATGTTTCAATGGATTGTATTCTTACTTAGTACGTAAGTGAGTACTTAATCAGAAGAAAAAAAGGCAAATTGGAAATATTAAATGTCATTTTATATGTTACACAGATGTTCTAGCTTTTCAAGACTGAGTGATAATTTTAGATTTATTTTAAATGCAGGAAATTATTCAACAATTAAAACTTTCTTTACAAATCTTGTTCTTTTAAGGACATGTTTTACAGACATGAAATGATCCAGCCTAAAAAGTTCTTAGGAATTCTTGTTATCAGCAACAAGTATTTTCTGTCAGCATTCCTGAAGGTAGTCTGGTTTAGCTTTGTGATTTTAGTCCTCAAAGAAGATAAATCTAACATACGTATTTAGATGTACCTTCATATCTGAAGAATACGTGATATAAAAGCAAATGAAAAGCCAATGTGTTCTTTTAAATTAGTGTTTAAACAAAATTACTTAAAACACAATATTGCTTATTTGTACCAGATATCCATGTAAATATATTTAACTATATATTTAATTTTAAAATGTAGTTTGTTCTGATAATTTTTGCCTTCATCATGCAGGAAAAGTTGCTTATTTATTATCAATAGAGTTTCATATTTATAGTTGAATGTAAGCAAGATATATCAGTAAGGAAAATCACGTGTGTGTGTGTGCTTGTGTATATATCTTTAAACATATATATATATATATATATATATATATATATATATATATATATATATATATATATATATATATATGTCTTTGGTTGTTCGGGTTTTGCTCCCGCGTAAAATTGGAAGTGTCTTGGCGACGTTTCGACGAAGTCCCATTCGTCATCTTCAGGCTGGTGTTTTCAGCTTCGTGCTTTGAGCAGCAATGCTGCTCTTGCTGCTCAAAGCAGAAGCTAAAAACACCAGCCTGAAAGATGACGAAAGTGACTTCGCGAGAACGGTGCCAAGACACTTCCAATTTTTACGCGGGAGAAAACCCGAACAACCAAAGACCTATATACTATATATATATATATATATATATATATATATATATATATATATATATATGCTTAATGGGAAAACTATTACAGGTAGTCCTTGATTTACAGTAGTTTGCATAGTGACTATTTTAAAGTTACAACGGGACAGAGAAAAGTGACACGACCATTTTTCACTCTTATGACCATTGCAGCATCTCCATGGTCACATGATCAAAATTTGAATGCTTGATACCTGGTTCATATTTATGACGATTGCAGTGTCCCAGGGTCACGTCATCACCTTTTGTGACCTTTTGAAAAGCAAAGTCATGGGAAAACCAGATTCATTTAACAACTGTGTTACAAACTTAACAACTGCAGTGATTCACTTAACTACTGTAGCAAGAAAGGTCGTAAACATTCACTTAACAAATGTTTTGCTTAGTAACAGAAATGTTTTGCCCAACTGTGGTCATAAATTGAGGATTAACTGTAACTTGACAAATTGTGTCAGTGTATATAAAAAGTCTAATACAATGTTTCCCTAATTGATAATTTATTCTTGAATCATTAGGAATAATTGTTCCTGGAAGTAAGTTTTATTTATTTTTATTTATTTGTGTCCACCTGTATTATTTTTACAAATACCTCAAGTCTGCAGATATATCCAATGTATCTATCTCCGCCTATTAAATTTATATTCATTTTAACCACTTCTACTCTCACCCCAATAATTCAGCACTAAACATTTTGTATAGCTTTATGCCTGGACGTAAACTAAACTTTACAAATAATTCTTGGATTTCTTTCATGAAAGGGAGTTGGGGAGGGTGCATTAAAGATAATAATGCACCTTATTAACATTAAATAAATGTAATGCTATATAAAAATATAGCAAGGCACAAAAGAGCAATATGGGGAATTTTTTATAGAATTCTACTAGCAAAAATAATAAAGACTCTTATGCAAAACAATTATCTTTAAAAAAATCTAGTTTTCTCAAATTTATTAGAATATCATTAATATTTCAAAACTGAATATGCACACAAATTAATTCTTCTTATCTTCCACTCCCAAACATCTGATTCCAAGTTTCATATAATTCTAGATCTTTAGAAGACACACTGGGTCGAACAGTTTTGAAAGCATTCTCAAAATCTTGAAAAGCAATAGTTCGTACTTGTTCAGGTCTAATAGTGGTAATGTCAAGAGATTGAAGGCTGCGGATAGGACCTAGAGAAGCCTCTCGGCAAAGCTGGGTCATATCAGCCCCAGAAAAACCATCTGATTTCTTAACAATGAGATCAATTTCCTCTTCAGTTATGGAACAATGTTCCTTTGACATTAGACGAGACACTATCTGCTTTCTGGCAGAAACCTCAGGAAGTGGAATGTAGAGTCTCTTCACCAGTCTCCTTCGGGCAGCCTCATCAATCTCTTGTGGTCGGTTGGTTGCACCTACAACTAATATGCGATCTTCAGAAGAAGTAGCTGCTCCATCTAACTGGACCAAGAATTCAGTTTTTATTCTTCTGGAAGATTCATGTTCTCCATCTCCACGCTGGGATAAGAGAGAATCAATTTCATCAATGAAAATTACTGCTGGCTGCTGAAAGCGTGCCACTGTAAACAATGCACGAACCATTTTTTCTCCTTCACCAACCCACTTGGAAGTCAGTGAGGATGCACTGATGCTGAAAAATGTAGCCCCAGACTGGCAGGCAATGCATTTGCCAATAAGAGTCTTCCCTGTTCCAGGAGGACCAAACAGAAGAATTCCTTTTGGAGGCCCTCGTAATCCAGTGAAAATGTCTGGTCTCAGCATAGGCCACACTACTATTTCCTTGATAGTTGCTTTTGCAAACTCAACTCCAGCTATGTCATCCCAGTTTACTGGAGGCCCATGGTCCATGATTTCATGCATTATAAGTTCTATCATTTTAGGTTCTATATTCTTTAACCTTTCATCTATTGGATAAGTCAGCTCTGTAGATTCAGTCCCATATGATTTACATGGCATTCCTGTGTTCCCATTTCCATCTTGTTTGGGCAGTGGAGGAACAAACTTTCCAAATGGACCACGATATCTTCCAGCTCCCAAAGATTTCTTTGTACCCCCGTAAGATGGTAATGGGGCATGCTGGGATTGATTTTGGACTTTCTTTTGCTGATCAACCCACAGCTGTTCTTTTGCAGTTTTGAAACCAGATGCTTTGTTTTCATTATTTTTCTTTTCATTCCATGGAATGTTTGACCCTTCGATAGGAATCAACTTATGAATGGAACCAGAAGATATATTATTGTTATCTTCACTAGACACAGCAAATGTTTTCCTTTTTCCCAGATTGCCCATTCTTGCAGGGAAAGCAGACTGAGCAGAAGATAAATCTTGCCCTGAACGAGAATTACTTGTGGACATCAGAGAACTATTAAATGCTGGTTGATTATTTCTAATCAGGGTTCTAGAAGACACATCATTCATAGTCACAGGCAAAACAGAACATGCAACTCCTGCTTTAGGCAAGGAGAATATATCATTTTGATAACACTTTGAAGTTGATGGCTTCTCACAAATCTCTGTTTCTTGAGTTACATAATTTGACAAACCAGCTCCAACCATAGATTCTCCATGACCACTTGAAAAAGTAAAATTGGGAACATTTGAAGAAACAGACTCAGTGACCTGTTTATCAATGGATATATCTACTTGCGCCTTCAGAGGCCTCTCAAACTTTTTTCCAGACCGCATCATTGCTTGAACACACTTCAATTCCATCAAATTTTCTGTTGTCAAAGCAGACTGCCACTTGTCACTTTCATTCTGCTGATATTTTACCATAGTCAAAATATCTTTAGCATAGTTATTCAAGCCTCTTTCTATATTGTCAGAATCAATAATTTCAGAATATTTTTCTACATATGTTTTGAAAAGGTTGGCAGCACAATCTCGGGAAATATCTGAGTTTGCCCATGCATGCTGAATATGTAAAATTTGTGAACGATATGCATCTGCTTTTTGTTCTGGTGTAGAAGTATCAGAGGTAACAATAAAGTAATTCTTTTGCCATTCGCTCATATGTATATCAGTTTGCATGATCTACAAACAAATAGATAAACAACAGAATAATCAGAATTGAAGATCCTTACAGAGTCTAGGGGCAGATTTCAAATTACAATGTATTGATTCTTTTTTCACTTTTATATGACCACTATGTTATGTTTAGCAAATACTCCATACAGCATAGATAAGCAAATACTTCATTTTTCTGCATTTGTTATAGAAAATAAGCACAAATTCACTTAAAATGATACATGGACAAATAAGTACAACTAATCTATTTTAGTTCCATCTGAAACAAAGGTTAACTAGTTAAGAGTATCTACATTCTTGAATTTTTAGAGCAAAGCTGTTTAGTCTGCCTCTAACATATATCTACATAAGTATCCTTAAACATTTATTAATGTAAGGCTCATTAAACATAGAACAGATGGCATAAAATTTTTATACTGTATCCAGTATAAGTAACTGATTGTGTGCCATCAATTTGTTGTTTATTTTAATCTATAGATAGATACTCTCAAGTAAGGGCACATAAATTAGCATCCACTAGCCAACAAAACATTGTCTTTCCAGAGAATAGTAAGCTTGAAACAAAACCAGTCTAAGATACCTTATCTGGAGTCTATGAATGCATGCAGCAGAAATATATCCATCAGACTTAAAAGAAAGAAAACTTTCAATGCAAGCAGGTATATTTCTTTTAAAGATTTTCCCCCCACAAAGCACATAATTAAACTGTAGTTTGTTGCCAATTGTGATAATGGCACCCAGTTTTTTTCAAAGTAGACTCTCTAGGTTTAGATTATTAATCACAATGAATATTGATAATTTTTACTTTCTAAATTAGAGGTAGCATGCCTCTAATATTGTTTGTATACAATATTAGTTTATAAAATTCATAAGCTCTCTATCTACTCAAGAAACTCTGGGCAGTGAACAGAAATGTAAAAAACAAACAAACCCAACAACTATTAGAAACAGGTCAAGGCTCCTAAACATCACAGTATCAGCTTAACAAACCACATTCACATCAGAAGTCAATCACCTTCCTGGCTCCAATCTTGGAACAAGAGCTAGATCTTTACAGCCTTTCAGAAGGCTGACAAGACACACAGGGCAAGGCAGACTTTCTGGGGACCACCAAGTAACATTACTTCACTGAAGGAAATTAGCAAATGGGTACTTTGCCAGTTCTATAATGGCAAAAATTATTAGGAACAGCTGGTTCTAGAAATAACCTGACTCCATGTCATGTAGGGCTTTAAAGGTGACAGCCAGCACCTTGAATTGCATGAAGAAACCCGCTATGAGTCAGCTAACAGAACGGAGGCATTATATGGGTGTATCATGGTTTTCTCAAAGCTACCCATGGTGCTGCATTTTAAGATTAGCTTCAGCTAAACACTTTTGAAGGGCAAATTCATGTAAAACATGTTGCAACAGGCAATTCATTGGTTAGATGCTGGAAAACAATAGTGGAAGGGGTTATTAACTTATAAGAAAAATGAATTTTTCATCTTTTCCCTTTCTATAATCACTTAAATGAAACAAACAATTGCTACTTAGTTTGTTTCTCCTGGTGTAACAATTAGATTGTTAACTGTATCAAATATATTCATTTTATCAGGATATATTAATCATAACATTTCCTTTTCAGATCTGAGTTAAAGATAGATGAAATTGACAAAAAAAACTATTGTAAGAACTGAATCTGGAGTGTTTCAGAATGTGAAAGAGAGTGAGGCATGGATGTATATTTTTTTCTGTATCAGCTGAACATATGCAGCAATATATCATAAAAGTGGTAGAACTAGAATAAAAACTGGAGATAAAATTACTCAGATTGAAACCTGTATATCATATTTCATTATTGAAACTAAAGAAAACATAGAAAAGCTTATTATGAAGGCAGACTGGAAAATAAAAAAATATTATTAAATATTAACTGCTGTAAATAAGTCCAGCTTAGCAAAAATTATTTAGTGTTATTTATTTATTTATTAGAAGGTATGCTTAGCAAAATTACATCTGATGAAGAAATGCTAGGTGGTAGTTACTTTTCTTTGTGCTCAAGAACAGATAAAAGATGGATCATGTACTATAAAAAGAAGAAATTAATAATTGGAAGGAAGGCAATTTATGATATTAAAATTTTCAATAAGATAAAATGGTTATGCTTATAAAGATGAGAATATTTGAGGCAACATTTTTACAATGGTAATGCACTACTGAGAAAGAATGGGTATAAAAAACATGTTTGAACTAATGGATTGGAGGATCCTTACTAAAATTACCATGCATCAAAAAAAAAAAAGGATCAAAGTTCAAAATAATTTTTTGCATGAAAGCAGAAGTTTTATTTATGGATCCATTCATATTATAAACCATAATTTCATACAGCTCACAAAACAATAATATAAAAACAGTAAAAGAGCAGCCTTGCTTAAGCAGACCAGACAGGAACATGACCAGATAGGCTAATTCTACTTTATTGTAAAGCAGAATCTTGCAAGTCCAAATATGCAATTCTTCTACTGTCTCTTTTACAGCCCGAAAAACTAGGAAGGTCTTTTCTAAGCCTTTTGCCTATCCATTGCTGTCCCTTGTTTGATAATTCCCTAGGCAACATTTCTTGGGCCCTTCTATCAAAAATGGGCTAAGCACTACCCTCAAGCTGAGTAATTCACCTGCTACCCATCAGCACAAGTAACATGGTTTCAGAATTGTAGCCTGACCTGAACCCTGACTAAAAGGGTCCAGACAATCCGCTTCTTCCAGGGCCCTCTGAAACTGAATACCTACTATCTTCTTAACAACATTCCCCCAAAAGGGAAAAGTGGAGATTGGACATAAGTTATCTAATGTAGTCAGATCCAAGGATGGCCTCTTGAGAAGGAATTGGACCACTTAATTCAAAGCGGGCAGCAACCCCCTTTGTACAATGAAGTGTTAATCACCATTTAGACACAACCATGTGCCACTTATCACGAGGCCTTAATCAACCCAAAGAGGCAATATCGTGTTTTCCCGAAAGTAAGACCTAACCCGGAAATAAACCCTAGCTTGATTTTTTTGGAGGGCCTAATATATGCGCCAACCCAAAAATAAGCCCTAGTTTTGGGGCGAGGCACATACTAAAAATCAAGCTAATGTGGAGATGGGAGAGTGGAGCTGCCCCACGTACCCCGCACCCACTTACCTTGCAGCCAGGCCTCTCCTCACCAGCCCACTTCTTCTGTGGAGTCCCTAGGCCTGCATTTTGCAGCCAGGCTTTTCCAGAAGGCCTCTGCAGCTGAGAACCGAGCTATGGAAATCCATAGCTCGGTTCTCGGCTGCAGAGGCCTTCTGGAAAGGCCTGACTGCCAAATGCAGGCAGGAGCTCCATTCCCAGCTGCAGAATGAAACTGTACTTTTGGCCGCAGAAGAAGTGGGCTGGCTGGCTGGGGCTGTCAGTGCCGGAGGTGAGTGAAAAAGACACACACGCACCCTGAAAATAAGACCTGATGCCTCTTTTGGAGGCAAAAAAACGCCAGTCTTGTTTTCAGAGAAACACAGTAGAACACAGAGGCCCATAAAACCTGTTATCAAATCAAATCAAATAGCTTTATTATGGCTTTGAAAATAATAAATATAGTAAAAATGAAATAGTTTAATATAGCAATTTGTTATTGGAGAAAAAAAATTAAGACAATAAAATAATATATCTAATTAAAGTTTTGTGCAGTTGTATAACTTGGCAAAGATATTTTGTCACTTAATATCTGAGTGCTGAGTTAGCATGCCTTAAAAATAATAAACATAAAATGTATACGTATGGCCCTTGCATTTGGAAATGATTGGGACAATCAGTGCACATATTTGGGCATCATAGAAAGAGTGCCATAGGGGGATGAGCGTTTCTATCTCCCTACACAATGACAAAGTTTCTGTAAATAAGGAGTCCCGTGAAATCTTCCCACCAGTAAGCTGATGGGAGGTTATCAAAGCATACTCTAGAAAAGGCCCATATTTGTTTAGTATTAAATTGTGTAGTACCATGCAGTAGAGGACTTATGACTATCTTAACATTTGGCAATAGAATTCAGGGGCACTGGTAATATAATTTTGGCAAACAATGTCCCTGATTTTCTCTTTTACTACTGATTTGGCCTTCTACAGCGTTGATTGGCCTAGATATTCAGGAGAGAGCCAAGACCACAAAGTCCTGCTATACACATATCATGTCAAAAAGATTGGTAACTGACTGCAGCACAGGCATCAGGCTTGTAGATCAAACATGATTCTAAATTCTGAGATCAGCATCCTGGTCTAGGCATGAGCTTTTATACTTTGCATGTTAGCTACCTCAATTTTGCATTGGAGGTGCATTTTGGAGTGCCAAACAAGGTCCTGAAAAAATTTAATTGAATGACTTCATAAACCATTATGAAGCTTTGTGTATGGGCCAAGTTGTATCCCATATAATAGCTGGGCAAGTGTTCTAGTTGTATACAATTTAACTGCTGGGATGTAATTTCCCCAGTTGCCTATAAAATTTAATTATTATTTGCGTACTCCTTTGGGTAGTAGTGGCATAATTTAGTGGCTGTTAATTTCTTCGAAGCCTGAAATACTATGCCCAAATATTTAAAACATTTAACCTGTTCCAATTCATGGGAATCAATTGTCCACTTGTGCTTTTGTCTTTCAATAGAAATTACAAAAACTTAGCTTTGTCTTAATTGTTCCTCATTATAGTGGGATGCTGGGATTCTTAATGTTTGCTTTTTCTTTAAGAAAAAAGAACTACATTGTCAACATAAGAATAAAATCCGGAGATGTCTATGGGCTAATTTAGGAGCATGGATATCCATTCTCTGGAGAGTTTTAATCAGAGTTGATATATGTTAAAAAAGCAAGCAGTCCCTTGACAGTCTGAATAAAGTCAGAAAGGTCCCCTCCCTGGATACTTTAAGCCTGGTTTTAGAGTATAGTTTAGTAAATTAAGAGCAGGAGTCTTTTATCTATAGTGGATATATTCAGAATGTACTACTTAC